AGGTTTCTAACATCAGCTGAGAGCAAACACATTGATTCCACTAAGTTCTGGAGCCTTTAAATGCTAGCAGTACCTCTGGCTCCCATTGTTCTAAGGATATCAGAGTCCCCAGTAATTATGGTGCCTGCCCCTCTCCTTTGCCTGCTAATTAGTTGCCATGCATCCTTGACTCTCCTGCTTGGGCACAGAAAATGCAAGCAGGAACTAAGACTTAAAGAATCACAGAACTGGAGGGGTCTGGTAGGCCATATTAATCTAATCTCTGCAGAGGAAATCCAGAGCTAGCTACTGCATAACTAACAGGCGGTTGCCCAAGATCTGCTTGAAGATCTCCTACACAGGAGAGCCTATCACCTCTTCAGATAATTGGTCCCTTTGTTGAAGTACTTTTATCATTGATTAGCTTCTCCCACCAAAATCTACCCTTCTTTAACTTAAATTCGTTAAATCTAGTCCTGTTTCTCTGAGGAAGATGAGAACAATCCCATCAGGTATTTGGGTTCTCCCTCACTCAAGTGAAACAAACCCAGTTCCTTCAGCTTTTCTTATAGGAATTGTTTTGCTTATCTCTGACCATCCTCATTCTCCTTTTCTAAGACAGATCTAGAACCTTCTTAAAGTGTGGACCCCCTCCCCCGACCTGAACACTATACAGTGGTACCTTGGCTCATGAACGCCTCAGTTCACGACCAAATCGGGTCCCGAACAGAAATTTCAGAAAATTTTTGCCTCAGGTCACAAACTCCGCATCGGGTGACGATTGCGATCACACCTGTCTTCCCTGTCTATGGCCGCAATCACAGCAGTGCTCGTGCAGGGAAAACAGGTGCAACCGCGGTCGTGCTGGGGGGAGATGGCCCTGATCTTTGTTGTTCTTTGTCACTTTGTTTCAAATTTTTGTGATTAAAAAAATGATTACAAAACGGATTAACCTTATTTACATTGAGCCTTATGGGGAAATTTGACTTGGCTCACGACCAATTTGGGTTGGGACCAGAGTTCTGAGCCAAGGTACCACTATACTCCAAATAAGGTCTGACTGGTGAAAAACAAAGAAGAACAATGTAATGCAATGTAAAATAGCATAAACCCCTGTTCTCCCTCCCCTGCAGTTATATGCACTGTTGACTCAGACTCAGCTTGCTATCTACTACAACCTCGAGATCCCTTTTGCATTCGCTACTGCTAAGTTCCCTCTTCTGAATTTCATTCTGTGAATTTAAGCACATCTATCAATGTCATTTTGAATTTTAGTCCTGACTTCCTTATCACAAATTTGAAAAGGAAATTTGATACATCTAAGCCATTGAGTTGATGCACACATAACAAAAACCAAGGAGTTTTTAAAGCCATGTATTATCATGCGCAAGCAAGCGCAAGCAAGAACAAATTTGTTGTTGGGGTACCTCCTACCAATCCAGAGTATCCAGGTTTGGATGTCAGACTACTAACAATTATGAATGGGCAACTGTAAATAGTTTAAATTGAAAGCAGAAGTGGCAAGAGTACCAGAGGCAATGCATACATTCCCACTAGATTACAGCAAATCTTGGGTTAAATAACCCATGATTTGCCCTTAAATGCAAACCAGGTAAATGCAAAAGATGTTGAAAAGCTCTGGGATTAGGACAGATTCATGGAGCAGCTCTTCAGCTCTAAATCCATCTGCTGGAATTTTCCTCTCTCACACATTTAACTAGCTTGCTGATGGGGAATCTTTTTGCCCAAACCAAGATAAATTACAGCATTCCCACAACCTGCTAAACTAGAAAACTAATCAGAAAGATTAGGCTACCAAAAATTATCAACAAATCCATGCTGAACTCTAGTAATACCTGCACTGGCATCAAGATGTGTGCCAACCAATTTCTTTATAATCTGTTATAATAATTTCCCTGCATCCAGTAGCAACTTTTGAGTTAAATAACCCATAAATTGTTCTTGGGTTAATTTGATTTAACCTCCAAACAACCCCAGCATCAGACATTATGGAAACAAACAACAAATGTCACATTCAGAGGTTTTGCTGGAAACCGGAGGCAGCTCAAGCATATCAAGTATCCTCCCAATTCATGTGTTAATTAACCCACAGATTGCCAGGGAACACTACTATTAGCTCATACTGGTTCACCCTGACTGATCAAAAGTATTCCAAATCCTCCATTCCCCCGTACTTTTTAAGGTTGTCATAACATTTACCCTGAGAAGTTCCTAAGAAAGAGCACCATGCAGGTGGTCACAGATCCTGCTGTTTGTCAAATTACAAACCCAAGAGGTTCCCATACAAGATTCACTCCTTATAAACAATATCAGGATTTATTAAAATGAGAAGCAGTAAATCAGTATTGCTTAGTCTGCTCTGGCATTACTTTGAACAGTTCTTTTAGATTTCACAAGACCTTATGATTGAACACCCCAAAAAGTCAAGTGGATTTTCAAAAAGTGTCTAGCCTCATGTTTGTAGAAAGCCAGTGTGGTACGCGGGTGAGAGTGTTGGACTGGAAGCAGGAAGTTCAGGATTCTAGCACACACTCAGCCATGAACTCACTGGGTGAGTTTAGGCCCGTTACTTGCTCTCATCCTAACCCACCTCATAGGGGTTGTTGTGAGGATAGGATGGAGAGGATAAAATGGAGCAGAGGAGGTCTATTAAAGCTGCCTTGGCTTCTTTGCAAAAGGAAAAACAGCGGGGTATAAAAGGAATGTAATAACAATAATCAGGTGGCTGGATGGGGTCACTGGAGAGGTGGGTGTGGGCTTCGGTGGACTCTGTGGGATGGTGGAGGACAGGAGAGCCTGGAGGAATGTTGTCCATGGGGCCGTGATGGGTCTGGCGCGACTTTGCAACTAAATAACAACAACAACAACAATACAGCCTTCCCCCACCTATGTCCCTCCAGATGTTTCAAATTAAAAATGCCATCATCCCCGACCACTGAGCATCCTGATGGGGGCTGATGAGAGTTGCTATATACCAAAACATTGGGAGAACCACAGGTTGGAGAAGGCTGTTGTACCATATTGGGCTTCTCTATAATGCGTCTCCGATTCCTCACTTAAGGTAGTTTGCAGGTCTACCTTGAGTGAGGTGACACAACACTGTCAACCCTCTTGGGCTTTTGGAGAATTTCTGAAGCATTTTTTTTCTAGAGTAAGGAAAAATATACCATTGTTTGGAATTGGCAGAATGAACCACTACGAAAATCTCATATTTTCACAATTCTACTGTGTCACCTTATGGTTATGCAATAGAACAAATAGAAAGGTAGATAAAAGGAGGAAAAAACCAGGAAAAACATGTAAAGGAACCAACCATTGTCTTGCAAAGAAGCTTTGGAAAAGCATTGGGTTAAAAGCCACACACAGAGAAGAGGCCTGGCCCTGTGAATGTCTCGTAATAATGGTCCTGCAGTTTAAGAAGGGCCCAGAAATACTAAATGAGTTACTCATTTTTCCAGCCCATGCCTGGACTCTAGTGTGTTATGCTGACACCCCCGTCAAACTCCAGGTATTCAGACTGTATAGGCAAATCACAACCCCTCCACTTTCCAAACGAAAGGCCTTGAGACTACACTGTCCTGGCTCCTGTACCAGACCAAGGACAGGCAGCTGCTCCAACCAGTCTCCGCAGCACTGACAGCTGTTACACAGCAGCTGCACCTGTTGTGCTTCCAACGTCAGGCACGCCAGGGCTTGCCAGGACTCCACTGCCTGCTCCAGTGCTGGTCATGTTGATCCAGTGGATCACACCTTTTCCTTCGAGATTTTTGAATAATGCTAACTCTACTAAAATGGCATACAGTCTGCGTGTGGAAATTACCCGAGTTATATTATCTTGTACATCTTATTTTAATGCCAACATATAGCATTACTTTCTTGTCCCCACCTCCTACTTCAAAGACCAGGAGGGATGAGTAGAGTGTCCAAAAGAAGACAGAACCTCCAGAGAGTCTGTCAAACAAAAATAAAGATGTTCACAAATATATATTTTTTTAAATTAAAGACTGCTGTCACAAGCAGAGGCCAAAATAGACAAAGATTCATTTTATGTGCCAGATGCTAGCTGCTTTTGTGTGGTGAAAGACAGACACATCTGTTAGTCTAGCTAAAAAAGAAGAAGATGATGAAGAAGGCCAAAAGGCATTTCCTGAATTGACCACGTCAGAGTAAGAAAAAGCAACTGGCCAACACAAAAGGAGCACAGTGAACACAGCCATAGTTATTGCTGAAAAGGATGAGCAACAGATGTGGTCTTCGTTCCAGTTTGAGCTCTCCATTGAGGAAAGACGGCTAATAGATATGCTCATGTTTTTTTGATGGAAGAGGACAGGTTGGAACTTGGACCAGGAAATTTGCTTTTTCATCACTCTGATCACCACTCACTTAAAATATACACATTTCTAAATGCATATGCTGATACATTTATTAGTTTTATATTGCTATTTTTTGCGATTTTATTTGAACGGTTAAATCAAAAATGGCTGCAATATGAGAGGAAATAAAACAAAACATGTAAGAGGACAACCGTGGCCATTTTTATGTATAAATATTCGGAAAGAGAAGGAAGTAAAATAAATTCAGCTTTAGCAGGAAGAAACACTGAAAAGCTGTAGGAGGCTTAAGAATAGGTTTGGAGCACCAGATTAGAGACCGAAATCTACTTGAGTGGACCTTGAAAAACCCACACAGTATGACTGAACATTCATTTATATTATTACAATATGAGATTATACATAAGCTAAGGTGAATGGGAAGAGGCCTAGAACTTACCTTAGCAATGTGAGTGAATGCCATAATAATCTTTAAAAGTGCAATCCTATACACATCTACTCAGAAGTAAGTCTCATTAAGTCCAATGACTCTTACTTCTAGGGTAAGGGTGTTTAGGATCACAGCCTTGATCCTGCATTTGGGAACACACACATCTCTCATGAGCATCACTGAAAATACTAATAAAATTGGGCAGCATTCATAGAAAAATTAAATTCCACATGATTTACCTGTGGAAGTTGTCATTGTTCCAGTTCTTCTGGGGATACTCTTCTATGACTTCTTGAATCAAAATTCCTTGAGGACGATGCAGTTTGGAGTATGGCAACATTCCCATGTGGCTAAAAGCATCATTGGATCCAATAGGAACAGTTCCCTTTTTCTTCCTTGGAAGTGTCCCATGGATCGAAACATCATTGCAGGTATTTGAGCGATGTTCACTGGCAAGAGATGGTTTGCTACTCAAAAGGTCCATAGAAGAAGCTAGTGAGAACTCATGATTCATCTGCATATTTCTTGGGAGACTTGCAAATTTCCCAGCTGCAATCATTCTCAATTCTAGAAAACAAAAATGGCACACAGTGGAATTATGTAACAGTGATCTTCTGCCATCATGGTAGTTCAAATCAAGATCAATGGACCTAATTCAGACTACTTCTCTATCCTACATTACAGGAAGATTTAATTTCTTTTCCAGCCCTAGGATTAAGAAAAGCTGCCATAAGTATATCCAGGTTTAAAATGCCAGGCTTCTAACAGCCCTACAGTATGCATGCGTGCATGCATGCATTTCTAAAGCTCCCTTACAACAGCTCATAAAACAAATATTAAAGTGCGATATACACACACACACACATACATATATATACATATATACAGTGCTTTTTTTGTAAAAAAAAAAAAAAAAGGTGCCGGAACTCATGAAATTATTTACCTTTCACACGTAGTCAATCACTGTACACACACCCACACACGTCAGTTGTGTAACGAAACATAACGGTCGCCGCCCGCAGTAAGCACTCAGTGCGTGACCACACAACCACTCACAAGCCAAGCAGCGCCATCACAACCAGCGCGGACGAAGTACACATGCATCGGATTTGACACACAAGCAGCCCACATGCACCGTTTTAATAATTTTGCTGCCGACCTGCTACGCTCGACAGGGCGATTCAAATCAACGTGGACCAAACATCACATTTTCAAAAGTTACTTTTAAAACTTGGAAAATCTGTTGAAAAAAAAGGTGCCAGAACTCTGTTCTGGTGTGTTCTATGACAAAAAAAGCACTGCACACACACACACTCTCTCTCTCTATATATATATATATATGCGTGTGTGTGTGTGTGTGTGTTCGCGCGTGCACGCAATATATATATCAGAAATACATTAGAAGTTTAACAACATCAAAAACCAAACAATAACAATGAAAGACTTAGTAAAACAATCCGCTCAAGTCTCTGGGTACCCAGAGCCTTGGCTGTTGTTACTGTAGCCTTTTAACCAGCTTCACACAAATATTTAGCATGTTTAGTGGTGAGGTGAAAGATTAGGAGAAATGAGAACAGATGCAGTTAATCTCCAACCTTCTTGGCTTGACCGGCCCATTTAGAATTTTGTGAACATGTCGCTCTCACAAAATGGCTGCCGTGGAGAAAGAGCTGCCCATAAAACACTAATTTTCCAGGATGCAAACTGCTGAGACTAAAAAGAGAAGTAACTTGCTCAAGAATCTAAGTATAGTCCTAGAGGTGGGAGCTAAGCTCACAAAGCCAAATAAAGATGGCAGTGAAGGGCATAAATTTGCTTTCCAGCATAGTAGCTCTCCAGTTTTTATTCCAGTTAAAGAGTTAGACAGAAGCCCCACACTGGAACCCCCAGACACACTAGTAGTTCTTATTTTGGCAAACACTAAGATATCCATAATAGAACGGAACAATATAAGCAGTTGTGGGCAGCTTGTGGTGCTACAGATGTATGGACCTACAACTCTCATAAGCCCTACCCAGTAAGAGGTGAGGGAAGTTGTAAGCCCAAACATCTGGAGGGCCTTAAGTTGCCAGCCTCTGCTACAAAGCAAGTGAGAAAGTTGCACTACTGGAATCCATGGATACTGCTCCCACTCTGGGGCCCAACTTTGGTTACATACTGTGAATGTGCACTTGGGACATTTTGTGCACATTGGTACATTCTGTGCACTGCTACTAGAGTGATTTGTAGGACCAGGCCAGGTTGTATGACGCATTGAGGACTGAATACCCGAAACACACATGCATACACAATTGTTCTGAAGGATTTCAGGAGGGCGGGTTGTTATTACCCACAACATTTATCTTTCTAATTGTTGCCTTACCCCTAGTTCTTAAGCAGGTCAAACACTGAGGAGAAATCATTAACTACAGCTAGATTGTCAGAAACTACTGATATTGTACAGACAATCCTCAACTGACAGGATTACCAGTCTAATCTAAGCAAGAGATGCAATTTGAAAAATATTCAGTGCTTCTGGAAAAGAGGTTCTTTAAGCAACATGAGCATGGTTCACATGTTTCCAAATGCCTGCAGGAAAAAGGACCTATTGATACAAGAACAGATAACTGGATTATTTTGGTGAGAAACACAAATTCTTCAATGCAAATGCAGCTTGGGACTCTCCAATACACCACTGTAATATATTAAAATATATATTTTCTGATTTGGATCCTGGCTTAGGACTCCACTCATGTTGCTCCTGCCAACATAATGAGGAGTCCACACAATTTAAAATCCCAAACCTGCTCCAGGGGTTTTGGGACCTTTGGGTTTTGGGTCCCGTGAGGCAGCCTCTTTCATCCCAAGGGCTGAATGCAATTTCAGAGCAGCTCTCAGGAGCCATTGTTGGTGGGGGGGGGGGGGGGAATGGGGCCTCAGAAAGTAGGCTGGCTCTCTGGAGAATAGAATGGGACCCAGGAGGACGTGATCTGACCCATAAGCTTGAGATTCCCCACCTGTACTATAGAGGTGATATGAATAGCAGCAGGAAAAGGGGAGTTCAGCAAAAATTGCCTCCCCCAGTTCTGTCCATAGCAGCCTCTGGAAGGTGACCTCTTGGTTCACAGGAGTGACATGATCTGAGCCTACAGATACCTTTCTACAGTACCTTACTAATCCATATTTAGGGAATTACAAGAGATTCAAATAGGATGTACATTACACGTGGTCTTAATAGAGAGATCAAAGACATCATCCCAATGGAAAAACAACTTAGGGAGCTGCCTCATAAAAGCCAGACAACTGGCCCATCACAGTGTTCAGTAGTTTCGCCCTGCAGCAGCTTTCCAGGATTTTTCCAGCCTTACCTGGAGATGGCAGGGGCAGAACCTGGGAGCTGCCGAGCACAAAACAGGTGGTTTACCATGACCTCCCTGCAACATATGGGTGACATATTTACCTACTCTGAAGTCATCTTCAAAGGTTCTTCTCAGGATGCTGCTGCCAAGTGTGAATCAATTGGTGCCTATCAGGCAAGGGACCTTTTCAGTGGCAGCATCCTGACTGTGAAATACCCTTCCCAAAGAGGTCTACCTGTGAACTACACTGTGCTCTTTGTATTCTGCCAGGGATTCATAGAGGTTTTAAAGGTAAATTTAAGATTAATACCTTTACCTTTTTTGTGTTCAAATACTTATTGTGGGTATTTTTCTACTTTTGCTGCTAGAATCTATCCAGTCTATACTGAGGTAAATTTCAAGAATTCTGTTTGAATGTTAGTGCCTTAAGGCCCTATGCATATTTAGATACAGAGAAGTTCTGTGACTCCCACTGTGCCAAGCCTGGCTCAGGCATGGTGAGAGTTGTAGAACTCTGTTGATGTATAGGATCGAGCCCTGGAGATTTAAAATTCTGTAAAACGTCCATAGTGTGGTGTGCAGTGTGTGTTATCTGATTTTAAAAATAAAATACGGTAAGTGAATGGGGGACAGGAATAATCTGATGCTATCGTAACAATAGGAATAATGTATTTTTCCCTTAAAATATTAAAAGAAATCAACTCTGACTATCCTTTAGAAGGTCAGATACTGAAGACACAATTCAAATACTTTGACTTACCAGAGAAGACCCTGATGCTGGGAACGACTGATGGCAAAAAAAGGGGACGGCAGAGGATGAGGTGGCTGGACGGGGTCACTGGGGCAGTGGGTATGGGCTTGGATGGACTCCGCGGGATGGTGGAGGACAGGAGAGCCTGGAGGAATGTTGTCCATGGGGTAATGATGGGTTGGACATGACTTTGCAAGTAAACAAACACAAAAAAAAACCCTTTTCCATCTAGTATCCTCTAAACTTTAAAATCTGAATTTGCATTAGAACAAGATATTCTGTAACTTTTACCCACAATTAGCTTTCTCATTGCTATTGTAGACATACAGGAAAAATTAGTTTCTCGTACGTGTTTTCTTATCTTTCTAAACTAGCTACAGCTATTGTTTACAAGGAGATTCGCTTACAAGGAGAGCTAGAGCTCAATGCTGTGTTAGCCTCTGTATGCAACATCTAAGAGGTAAGAATAGAACAGTTTCATAAACTCTTAAGCCCCAGTATGAAACTTACTCACATTATGATTTACTTACTTCATCCATATACATCCAATATGTAAGCTCTTTTTAAATAAGAATTATTATTATTTTGTACTATGCAACAGCTGTCGTTCTCCAGACAGTTTACTGTTATTGTCTTAAAAATGACTGAGCAGAAGGTAGCTGCTGAAGATCTAATTATGCACACAAACTCTATTTTCTATTATGTGGCTTTTAAAAAGAGCGATCTGATAATAAGGTGCTGGATGAAACCAGGATCAAAAAGAGCTCACTGGATTTTGGCTGCATTATGTGCTCTTCTAACAAAAACCCCTGAATGTTTTTAATTGTTGTCATCCTCCTTGAGAACACAAGATGAAGGCCAAAGTAAAAGCAACTGAATAGTTCAACATCAGTAGCTGGACTAGATGCATAAATAGCACTCTCAAGTTGAGTGATTACTAAGCCTGTCTGCTCAGAAGTAAGTCCCAGTTTAAAAATTATATAATTTCGAGGCTATGCAACAGCCTAAAACCTCAGTCTGAGTGGTCAGAGGGACTGCAATCTGATAAAAACAGGTTGCTGTGTGTATAAGATTGTAGCCATAAACAAAATGATGAAGAGTGATCTGCACCTTCTAAGAGAGGCGTTAAGACTATTGTTTGTAAAATGTGTAAAGCATGTATTCCTACAGCCTAAAAACATGCTTTTATGTAACCCCTAAGGAAGTTACAAAAAGGATTGGCTCTCCCTAGCATTTCCCAAGGCAAGCAATATCCCAGAACAAAGACCCTGATAACCTGCAAGTAACTGGTAGATGTCTGCAGATGCCACTTTCTCTGCTCGTCTTTTCACAATTGCAAAATTTCAAAATACCACAAATGATGCAATATTCCATTCAGAAAATTAAACTGCTGAAAGGCTATATTTGCTGGGAAACAGTCTTCTCTTCTTTTTTGCCATTATTAACTCAGACGCACAGCTTCAAAGGATGACCCAAGA